ATGGTTCAGCCGCACTAAGGGACATGGCCTCGGCTCAGCTAACCAGAGCGAAAAACCACACCTTGTCTAGAGCCGTGAGTCTTAGGCAGGCCCAGTGAACTTCGACTGTCAGCACACGGATGGACTGGACGCGACAACAAGAGCATTACAAAACGTACGTCTGATTACCATCAGACAGTTTCGTGTTGAGGTGGGAATCCAAGTGGCATAGATCGCGGAATATGATCAGAGCACAGAAAGGGTAAGAGGGAATGTACTTGATTAAGGTTACGGACGAGATGATGGAACAATCGCATTATATTGCAACATCATGCGATGGAAGTAAGCGATGGCTCAAGCGTTGATCGCACATGATTCGCTGGTATCAGCGGAGGGAACACACACAGAGGCATACGCGTACTAGCAAGATAAACAACCGATATGTGTCATGGGAATTGAGGAGTGTGTGACCGAATCCCGTCTCGCAATCGTCCCCTGCACTTCAGCGTGAAGTAGAGAAATCGGTGTTACATGGTAGTCATCCAGACATCGCCGGGAGGCTTGTCAGCACGGGTGAGGTCAACGCGACACCTTGAAATAATCCGAGGACATTTTGAAATGGTACAGGGAAACTTGAAATAATGGTCGGCCAACTTGAAATGATTCCCGGACATCTTGAAATAATCCAAAGACATCTTGAAATGAAACTGGGACAACTTGACTTGCAAAAGGTATAGTTAACAACGAAGAGGTTTACACCAACCTTGTCAAAAGTTTTAAGATTTATGTTTATTCCTCTTCTCTCCAATTCGTACACCTTTAAGTGAAATGTAAGCTTCGTGCCTAGATAAGTTATAGTGACAATTACCTGCTTAGAAATTCGGCCAATTAATGCTGGTATCCCCGACCGACTTATTCTGCTGAAAATAGTGCACAAGTTGTGCTGTACACAGATCACATATGCTTTCATCCTGTTGAAGTCTTTGCCATGTCATGCAATCTTTGGTCAGCAGGCCACCTGATCAGGTAAAATCGTAGGCTTTTGGTTTACCCCCGATATCACGTGCGCTTCTCCTGAGCTGCGGGCGGTGTCGGAGAAGCTAGTCCCACCCGGTAAGCAGCTCGTTCTGATGGAGGAGAACGTGAAGTTGATCAGCGATTATCAGTTGAATAACTTTTGATATGACGGGTATGGACGATGATGATGAGGTTCGACGGCGCTGATCGAAGATTGACAAAATGGTACAACGCTGGTGGTTTAGCCATGTGCTCCGAAGGCCCGACATTCAACTCTCGCAGAAGGCTGTAGCCCCTCTACCGTGCCGAATCGTGGTCAACTGAAGACTTGGAACAGTACGATCAAGGTGGATTTGTAATTACTGGGCCTCCAATCCGTATATGGAATTCGTAACTGAAACCATAACTGGGTTTCACACTGCGTCAATCTTGCTACCGATCTTTATGCATGGACCGCCATCATTAGAGACATCCACGAAGCCAACTCATCCTCCCACAGGAGTTGGTCGGCCAAAAGTACAAAGTACGAGTTGGTGTTTAGTGATTCGTCACGTTTGGAAAAATGAAAATTTCCACAGTGGTCTTCTACGCGGATAAGATTACTCTTTATTTGAGGAATAAACGTTAAATGCTATGTACAAAAGAGGACAGCTCTAATAAATACGTTTTAATGACAACAGAGGTGTAAGTGGCTGATCCAATCGGGTCCTGGAGGTTTTTGTAAGCGTATATCCAGTCTTACCGGAACTCTGATGAAATTGAGTGGAATTAGCCGATGGTTGGCTGTGGGTTATGGGGATCTCGGATGGGAAAATTGCTTACTGGGAAGTAGTCTTTTAACCTTTTCAATTTGTTTCTCGAGGGACGAAGAACCCGATTACTGACTTCTGAGAAGAGCAGGTACTGACAATGTCACTTTTTTTATCAAACAGGCAAATAGATTTTCAGGAATGAGAAGTGTCTAGTCAATGACTGACACGGTATCCAAAGAAGTGGCAAGGTTTAGCAGTGACAATGGGATTCAAGGGCGAAAATTTCCGAACTAATGTGATTTTCACCGACACCGCAACCTAACAAAGCATTTCGTACCTTTGTGTGCCGTAGCAGTCATTACTGAGGCACATGTGTTTGACAAGCGTTTACAAAGCATGTCATCGTTGTAGTCCCTTCATTCCCCTCCCCTCCGTTGTGTTCCCCGCCTCAGGTCAATTCGATTGAGTCCGCTTTGCTCTCTCTGTCTGATCGTGAAGAGGTGTCCGACTATCATGACGCCTTAACCGGTATGGTTTCCACAGTTCGTCGGCACGCTTGCATCGACCAATTACCTCCGTTTTTTCTGCTCCAATTGAAACGGTTTGCATACGATTCATCGACCGAGGCTCCCGGTGGGACCATGCGCAAATCACTCAAATTGGTTCCCGTTCGACAGGAACTTGTGATTCCACTTAGTAAGTGAATTGGTTTCCCAACATTTCGGGTTCAGTTTCCAGGCCTTAGTGCCTCCAACACACAGATCGGAATTTGTTTGTTCAGTTTGACGTAGTTCTGGCAAGTGATCGAATGCCAATGATTCTTTGTTTTTGAAACGGGAAAAAATTACGAGCCTCGCTGGAATTTGCATCTACGCATGCCACTGCCTAATCTACGGTCCACCACCCGAGCTATAAGGCCGCGCCGTTAGCTCTAATCTTTTTTCACATTTAACCAGTCGATCGAACTTACAGAGACACATGAAATCCCTCAGTTGGTTATGTCAGCTATCTATCTATCCCGTTGATGCACTGCGGTTTCCCACTAAGGCTCACATTGCCAGTTATCATAAATGAGCCATCAGTCTTTGGTTTTATGGGTTTACCCCGTCTGCTGTGCATCACATAAACGTTTGATCAACAAAACCTCATCACTTGGTTTATTGTTTTTTAATAATACTGATCACGATGGAAATATTTATGATAAACGACAAAGAGCACCGAGACAGCCGTTTCGTCGTGTTTAGGACTCGACAGCGGTGCGTAGTTTTTGTGTCCGTGTCAAAACTCGAACCGCAAACTTTCGGGTTGGAACTTCAAACCCTTACGCCTGAGCTACACGGTCGACGGCCGTCACCTTGTGCGAACGGCTCAATCAATTTAGAATATCAAGTTTATCAGTTATCACAAAATTTCCATCGTGTTTGAATGCATTCTACTAGTGGGGAATAAACGATCTTCCAAGACTCAAAAGTGCTTGACCTGCTTCTGAACAATCGAATGGGCTAATCCAAACTTGATACGCTAAACTTCGACTTTTATTTATTTTGTACTCAAAAATTGTAAAACCAGAGTTGGCAAGAGGCTGTAGTCAACCAAATGTCGCCAAACAACAACTAGGTTAGTAGAGCAACTGTGGTGAGGTTCTCCGATACAGAAGCCACAGGGCGATTTGTTCGTGATCTGAAATCCCAAATTCAGCACGCAAGTGATGAAAAATTGCTTTCCTCGTCCCTTAATAACTAGTCGTGTTAACCCTCCATCTTACTGATATCGAAGATGCATCATCTGGTCGCACTTTTGGGATGTGTGTCTGGTGGGGAGGAGGGTACATCAATCCTCTTGACTGTTGAAGACCCAACATCTGTCCCCAGTGTTCTATACAGCACTGAAAAGACGTCGGTAGTTGAACGGTGGTTTAAGTCATGTTGCTTTGTCATAACCTCTAAGGTTTCTCCTGTCCGGCTGCTACCTTAGCGTTGAATGTTAGGGTATAGACTCCCCTGTTTCCCCAATGGGACCTCAATCTCTGCTTACCCAACACAAACCAGGAGTTGAGTAAGTCACTGAATCATCGTACATTGTGGGTGGACTTTTGTCCTTGGGCCCAACAAAGAGCCAACGTCCTTCCGGGGCCCTGTTCCCTTCTNTTCCCTTCTGTTTTTTATGGTGAAACCCAGTCATGATTCGGTGAATGGGGGAAGAGGTCTCCGATCGCAAGGGTTTGGTACTTGCACCGTGTGACGGTTCCGCTCATTGAGTTTTCCGTCTTTGGGGGGAGCGATGCAGCTTTACAATGCTGTCGCCCCCGGAACATCAAATTAACATCACTGGGAGTTGTTCCAGTTCGAAATGATCACTTTCTACCAAGCCCAAATCAACAACAACAACAACAACGGATTATGCGTGTGTTGCTATACTAGTCAGCCTTGTTACCTCGTTTCCGTATACAGTCAGATAGTCTGAATGAATGATCATACAAGGCTTTCGAAATTCACTCACTGAATTATAGTCACGGATCACTAACTAGTCCATTTTTGTTCACAATATTTTTTCATTCTTTTTTTCTCTGTGCGCAGAACTGTTAAGTGGCGAGAAAAAATTCTCCCCAGAGCAACGCACCTATCGACTTCGTGCGGTCATCTTCCACGTCGGTTTGACTGCCACATCCGGGCACTACACGGTGGCCGTACGATGCGGTCCTGGTCAGGAGCCCCATGTACCAGTCTCGAATCAGGCTGCACCGGCACGTGACACGGCCTCTCCTGCGTGCACCGACCTCTCTTCCACATTTCTGTACTTGGACGACACACATGGCTGTCTGGTCCCGGACGGAGAGTCACAACGGTTACTGTTTTCCACGCATCGCCCATTGAACGTTCGAACGGGTCAGTATCAGACCTTGCCACAGAATAACACAGTCCCATCTGATCGCCCGCCTATCTCATGTCAACCTCGAACACCGTATGTTCTTGTGTATGAATCAATGCATATTGTTCGACGAACCTGATTTTAATTGTTCGTCCCCTAGGTTGCATTATTTTTCTCCACCCCCGTTTTGTGAATGATCGGCCACTATTTTTTGAGTGAACAACCAAATGGCTTTCTCTCTGGGCGGCGTTTGTTCCTTTGTTTGGAACGAACACTTCAGATATGACCGACCATAGAAAATCACATCGAATTGTCGTCGCGCTTTCTGACTTCCGTGATAATGTCATTCGAACCTGGCTGGCACGTGATCTGATCTGTGAGCGAATGATGATAATAATGATAATACCCCAGTGAATGTCCCCTTTCGTCGTGATTTGTTTTTTTCCTGTTTTCACCCACTGAAAGAGATGTTCTTCTTTTGATGGTTTCTCATTCCATATATGCCTCAATCCCCTGGGAGATGTACAATACTTGCCTGTTGAAGGAAGCCGCCCCCAAGAC